CCCACCAGGCCACCATGCTATTTTAATTACTTCGTATTAGTATTACTATTATTATTAGTATTATTATTGAGATTATTATTATTATTAATTATTATGGGGGATGGTGCGGGGACGGTGCGGGGGTGCATAACCCATCACCCGCCCCATATTTAAGCGGGGAGAAAATATCTCCCCCACCCCACTACCCGCCCCAACTCCCCCCCACGGGGCGGTTCCCCACGGCCCCCCGCCCCCATTGCCATCCTTACTCTCGCTGTTGGTATTTTGAATTTGATGCATCCTTGTCTGTGTATATTCTCTACTTATCCTTGAAATTGTGATTGAAATATCTAAATATGTATTAAAAAGTACTGTGTAATATCTAAAAGTGAGGGTAGAAGGGTCATTTCCTTTCATTTTACATTTTTACCCAAATTGTAACTTCTTCACTACTATTTTCTTATTATATCTGCCGATTTTGGAGAACAACTTGGTGTTTTGCAGAAACTCTGGTGGTTATAAGCATTAAAAGTTGATTCCAAACAGGAACTTATTGAGTGTGTATCTCTTGCTGTTAGTATGTTGAATTTGATGCATCTTTGTCTTTTCAAATTGCTCTGTTCTTATGTTTCTTAGGGTAAGAAAAATAAGCTGCAAGGGCCCCTCAAAGCTGTGTTGGAGCAATTATCAAAGCTTAAGAATTCCTCAAGCAGTCATTAGCGCATAGGTGAGATTGATCTTTACATGCCCCCTCTGGTTTCATGCTCGTTCTTGATTAATTAATGACCCAAAAGACCAATAGCATTCTAGGTTATGCGTCATAATGTACCATATATATATATATATGTATGTATCCTGATAATATTGCAGATTAAACTCCATAGCATGGGTAAATTGTAGCAGATCTGTTCCATAAGCTTGTGTAACAATTAAAACAACATAATAATAAAAACTCAAATCAATTGAAACGAATCTACGCTGTAAGAACAACAGCCCCACCTACCTCCTTGGTATATACTCCCTCCGTCCCGTTTTTAACTTTTTACTTTGACCCTCACACATTTTTAGGAATTAAATTTGACTTTACTGTTTAGACACTGTTTCGACACTGTTTGGCACTGTTTGGCACTGTTTTGATGTAGGAAAACTTTCCATTTAGGGAAATTAGAAGATGATTTTGGGACGTCCCAAAAAGGAAAGCAGGAAGTTAATAGCGGGACGGAGGGAGTATATATATATATATATATATATATAAATAATGCGGTTCAAATAAAAAGGGGGTTCAACGTGTAAAATGCGAAATTTTCACTTTTGGAGTGCTACAGTGCACAGTGCACTTTTCGGTTCTTATAGTGTACGTTTGCAAAAAGTTCCACTTATTTTAAAAAATGTCACCGTGTTCCCCCCAAAAGTGCAATTTTTACAAAATGCTTAAAGTGCATCAGTTCTTCATACAATTACAGTATAGGTGATTATAAGTGTATTTCGCATGCTAAGAGGTTTTGTTTATTTGATTCTAACTCTCTCTATATACTACGTATATATTATCTATGTTATCTACTTCTCCTTGGATGAACATAAATATGACATGTTGCTTTCTGATTATATATGTACAGGCAAGGAGGATCACTATTTTGGGCAGCCATATTTCAATTTTTTGAAATCTAGAATTGGATTTATGTTTGATGGGTGCCACCTTGTAACTACTAGGGCCTAACTAGTTAATTTTCGGATGATTCCTGATCATTTGAAAGTGCTGATTTTACTTTTTGCCTTTCGGAGTATGGTTACTTGGATGTAACATTGGCTTAAATACTTAAATTTGCTTAAATTACGTATGGAGTTTGGATTTGTTAAATTTGCTCTGAGAACACATCCTATATCTTAAATGATACAAAGTATGTAACAACACTTTTCTTGGCCAACAAAAATCTTATGTTTGTAAACTTTTTTCTGCACATCTTTGAGGATGGAGTAATGGAGTATACGAAGTTATTATAAACGTTAAAAGTATTATGTTGGTGAGTCGTACCATGGCGTCCAATTGTTTGGTAACTTTATTTTGGCATGGAAGGAGTATTGTACAACTAGGTGTTGTAATTTGTGTCTGAGACTGAGTTGAGAAAGAGTGGTAAATCATGGAGCCGGTTGTGGTGCGGGTTGCGATGATGGTGACAATTGCTATGTCAACTGGTAGGTTGGGTCTTGTATAATGATCAATCATCATTGTTCCAAAATATAACTGATGTAACTTGCCGTGCAAAGAAAGAAAATACGTTATTTTAATGTTTGTTTCTTTTAAGCAAAATCATGACGTTTTAAGATCTGCATGGGTGATGGGGCAAGACATTCTTATATGAATTTTAAGTACTACTATTAAGAGCAGTTTCACTCTTAAACTCTACAAAAAAAGCTTTTTGTATCCAATTTTGAATCGGGATTTCAATGTAATCAAGATATACCAACTCAATGAAAGGATAAGTTTTATTGAACAATAGCTAGATTTGCATTATTGCATGATAGAGAGTGGATTATGAAATAATGTCACATGCAAGAGATGCGTGATTGAGACGCATAAGCTATGTTGGGTGTGTGGATATACTGTAAAAGATTACCTTAAAAATGAAAGGAGTGAGAGTATCACATATTGAAGATAAGATGTGATAAAGTTTGTGGTAGTGGTTTGATTTGCTTAAAGGATTATGAGGTGCGGTGAGGAATGAGGGAGGAGAGAGAGATAATATACTACTTGGGTAGATGAGAGTATGATTTGGTCACGGTGAAATGTATGGATAGCATATGTGTGGATGATCAATCACATATGTGATGTCTTCTCTTTCTTTTTCTAATGTTTGTAACTCCAATACAATATGTCAATTTATGTTAACTGATGTCAATTTTTTTTAATTAAACTTGCGTTTTGTGTTATTTGTATCAAACATGAAGGTTACTGCATTGTTCGTTATAGGGAGCTCGGTACTGTGTAGGCTTGGCCCGACACTGTATAGGCCTGGCCCGACACTGTATAGGCTTGGCCCGACACTGTATAGGCCTGGCCCGACACTGTATAGGCCTGGCCCGACACTGTATAGGCCTGGCCCGACCTGGTGGTTATAAGAGCGGGTTTCAGACTCGTTTTTTTGGACCTGGACCGGGCCAGACTGCACTATTTTTTTAATTGAATGGGTGGTCCCGTATCGAAGCCCGACCCGGTCCCAGTAGAAACCCGGGCCGGTACTTGAGCCCGAAGCCCGTCTCGTCCCGTCCCGAAGCCCGTTCTGGTCCCGTCTCAGTCCATCCCTAGTCCGTTATCCTAGCTCTCTAAACAAGTTATTTTCTTCTTGAACGCATTTTTGAAGATTGCCATACATATGTTATTATCCAGCTCTAAGGGTATTTGTTATAAGATATTTGTGTTGTAAATATATAAAATGTTAATACTGGGAAGACCCTAAACAAATGTGGAGAAGAGGTGGGGAGGAGAGAAAACTCAAATAGATGTGGATCAGAGAAGTCGTGAGTGATATGCTTCTTATTGGGTTGAATGAGGGTAGGACTTTGAGAGAGTAACGTGGAGGACGGGTATTCATATGACAGATTGATATCTTATCATCTTTTTTTCTTTTTATGTTCTTTATCTTGCTTATGTTTTTTTTTATATCTTTTATCATTATTATCTTTACTTTATATCTATCTTTATCTCTATCAATTAAAATGGAATGATTGAAGGCTCTGATTGTAAAACGACACAGTTACTCAGGTTGATTAAATAAGGTTATTCAAGTATATTTTGAGAAATAATTTTGATGGATATACAATATAATGAGGGCATTTAAGAAATAATTATGATAACTTTGATTATATAGATGTTTTTTTTAATATTTAATGATTAAATTGTAATTTAAGAGTGTTAATTGTTTCTTAAAATAGAAATGAGAACCTTTATATAGGACGGCCAAAAAAGAAAAGTGAGGACCTTAGAATGGGATAGATGAAATATCTTTTTATCTTTTTTTCTCACATCTTATCTTTTTACCTTTCTTATCTTTCTTTTCCTTTTTGCCCCAATATCATTTATCGGTTCATTTAATCGAGCTCAAAATCTGTTGTGACTAAGGCCTAAATGCTATTGTTGTTATACTGGGAATATAATTGCATTATACTTAAAAACAATTGTAGAGTTTATAAAACGTTTTCTTATTTCTACATTTAAGGTCAATCAATGTGAATCTTCACATTCGAGGCAAATGCTGGGTATTTTCACCTTAAAACACGAAGTGCCAATTTGCTCTAGAGACAAATATAAAGGACTTGATCCCACTGAAAAAATGTAGCCTTAAACATATTGAGTGTTCATAAATATAACAATTAAACATATTGAATTTGTAGCATTCGACGTTTGCTATGGCGGTCATCGTTGGCATTCGATGAAAATGAATGAGCGGAGAGATGTTTCAGATCTGGCCAACTACCCTCATCTATGGTTACCCGCTGTCATCAACGGGAGAGAGTCTGAGAGACATGGGTTTTGCTAGAGACTATTGGTTTAGCCAAGTGCAATGATACTAGCCATGCAAGTATCGTAGAGTGAATGGGGGATGCAACTAGAAAATTTCAGTGCGAGGGATCAATCGATGTGTTTGAAAAGGAATCATAACTCCAGAATTTATGGTTACACAATTCATGTTCCATCCCCCACCGTTGGTGGGAATCTTTGCGCCACTGGGGTCTGGGGTAATAATGATGATAATGATGAATTCATGTTCCATGCGCTGTGTAACCCATTTTGAGGCCTATTTTAAGCTTTTCACCATAAACTGGAGGAATTCCCTTCCTAGCTCTAGGGACTAGGTAAAGAATGTAAAAAGAAAAAAGAAAAAAAATTGTTGGGACTCACCCTATAGTCCTGGTAGGAACGGGACCATCATAGGGCTTATGGTCAGAGGGATATACTTGCCAGGCCCGTTTCAGTTCTGGTCGAGACCAGGTCAGGCCTAGCTACCGGGGTCTTGAACGTATAATTCTTCAGAATAAAAGACAAATATGCATGCATATTGAGCTAATATGCATGCGCATTGATCTTGGATTACATAATTCTACATGAATTTACTTGCATGCTATAGTCCAGCTTGTGTACATCATCAGACCATAGATATCAACTAATCTAGTCCATTCGATACATGAACAATAAATATAAGCTTTTACAAACTAACCCGGACCTCACTTCTAACTACTATCAACTGTGCAGTATCTTTCCTATTTCAGGATCCTGGAAAGATGGACCCCCCCAATCATATGGTAGTCACAGAAAACAAGAAACACCCAAACGTCATCAATGCGGTTATTACCCAACTTCTATGCAAGTTCAGACCTGAAGATTTTCCATCTGTGACTCCAACAAGAAACCGGCACTCACCAATAGAAGGATCCAAGAAAGTGACCATCCCAAGCCCATCAAAATCACAGCTCACCGGATTCTGTTTTTGCAACTGATAGTAACTGTTAAATGCATAAGACACGTTTCCCTTTGGCCCAATGCCATTGCAGGACCCGCCGTAGTCCAGGGTCGTGCAATCCGCAAAGCTACACGCGGTCCTAAAGTGGTTATCCACCATTGAAAAGTCTCTATCTGGTTTCGCCACACACCACCTGGATGGAAGGTAACTTACTTCTTTGGCGTTCCTCAGCAAACCGTTTCCAAGGTTCAGTTTATACTTTGCCTGCCCGTCGAAAGAGAACAATCCCCAGTGTCTCTCGAAGTTTCCGGGAAGAATGCTTTTCCCGTCCTCATCGAGGAGGCTAAAAAGGTAAACATCCATGGGAGGGGCCCCAGGCCTAAGAGGGGTCCCTTGGTTTCTAAGTACATGGTTCACTAGCCCTTGGTTGAAAGCTCTTGCAGCAGTTATGTTGGCACTGACGGCTCCGTCCGTGGGCCAACCTACCTCTCCTATGACAATAGGCATCTGACTGTACCCGATTTTGGAGAGGGCTGACACTAAAGTATCAAAGTTTCCATCAAACGCGTTAAAGTATACGTTCGGACCGTCCACCACTTGATGGGTCGTTCCTTCGAAAAAGGCATAGTCTTGTGGGAAGTCCGAGTTTCCATAGAGGCTGAGGAATGGGTATATGTTGACCATGAATGGCGAACCGATTGAGTTTAGGAAAGAAACAAGTTGGGTCATTATTTGGGTCAGTTCGGGTCGGAAGGTACCTTGTGATGGTACAGAAGGAGACTCATAGGCATCAGCGTTGCATGGTACAACCAGCTTTATGGACCCTGCAAGATTTGTTTTGACTAGAGATTGTTGTATGTTTGATAGAGCAGGAAGGACGTCAGATTGGTATTGACCAGAGTAACTTGTGAGGAAAGGTTCGTTCCCAACTGCAACATACCTGTTATCACAAGTTGGTAGTCAGAGCCAAAAAAATAAATAAGAGCGATATGAGATTGGGAAAGGAAGGACTAAAGAGATGGAAACCAATAAAAATTAATGAATAACTGGAGATAAGCCGTTGCATTAGAAGTAAACTGTAAAAGGCTTGTGATGTCAAAGCCATACCAAATGTTGTGTTAGATGAAGTTACTAAAACTGTGGTTGGACTATATTTTTACCTCTATCTAAAGAAATGCTTTATAAATATATTATCACATAAATGGTAGAAAATAACATCTAAAAAAAGGCAAGCACATTTTTCGTCAACTTCAGTCACTTCATACAAATAAGTAAAACTCTTGCCAAGTATCAGTGGACTTAGCCAGCACAACCAAATAAGTTAAATTTTGGTAGAAAATCTTGTTGATATTTGATAAATAGATACACTGTTGACTGTTCTAATTATGGGCACTGAAAGTGCTGGTAATAATTTAGATGGTATAGACCAGTAGCCCGGCATTATAGTATTGTGAAGCTATAATAACAAGTGATTGAAATATGCAGTACAAATCTATACAAGATGTTGGGCCCAAGGATTTTGGTTTACAAATGGCCCATCTAAGGAAGATTAAGCAGGCAGCCCAGGAGAAGCAATGCACGTGCAGAGTTGGATAAGTTAAAAGAATCAGTCAAAAGAGAAATAGCAGGGCATGGAGGAAAAACCGCAGGGAAGTTGCGTTACTTGGGGAAAAGCTAAATTTTATCTAATAGAGGTCATATTGGCTTGTATAAAAGGAGGGATATACGAAGTATTCAGGGAGCATTCTTTACTGAAGCATACCTAGTGTTCACTCAATATCAATATTAACAATCAATTGCTATTTCTTTTTCATCTTTGTTCATAGTCGATTATTCTTTTTGCTTGATTCCCAATTCTATATCATATTCCTAGATCAGTTAATTTCTGGTTAAAACAATTGGCGCCGTCTGTGGGAAATTCTTGCAAAAAGAGAATCAATTATGGCCGAAAGTTCTAACTCCCTGTTTAATGAGATTCAAGCACAACTAGAAGCCGTCCGAGAAGAGCTCCGTGCATCCAAAAGTTCCGACGCAGCACAATTAGAAGCTGTCCGAGAGGAAATGCGTCAACGAATCGCCTTCCTCCAATGTGAAAATGACGCTTTGAGATCTCAGGTGCAATCGGTGGCATCCATAGCCTCAAGCTCACGACGGGGCGGGGATGTGGCTACCATGGCAACGAGACTGGACATGGGTTCGATTCCGGCTTCAACCGAACCTTTCATCCCTCACTTCGGGGCCGACACATCTGGAGGAGCAGGGCCCTCAACTCGTTCCTTTCCACCCCCAAATCCCAGAAGGAACATATTCCGAAATCTGTTTGCACAGCCCCAGAGACGACATGTTCCAAATCATGTCGACATTCCCAGATATGTCGACATCAACAACCAGAGGCGACAAGTTCCAAGCCATGTCGACATCAATAATCGAAGCTGTCAGGAGCCGGAGGTCGTCACCATATATTCGCCTCCCGAAGCAGCGGATCCGCAGATACAAACAAACTTGACAGATCTCTTGCCTGTCATCATGGAGGAACTGAGGGAATTGCGAGAGAAGTTCAACAGCATACCTGGAGTCCCACGTCCGCTTAACATGGCGACGCAAACCTGTTACGCAGACTCACCCTTCGGACGACATATCACCGATGTCGAGATTCCGAGGAAGTTCGTCGCCCCCTCAATGAGACTGTTTGACGGGACTTCTGATCCGGTGGAACATGTCGCTCAGTACAAACAACATATGTTGGCCGTCTCGGTCAGACCACATCAGAGAGAAGCTTGCATGTGCCGGGCATTTGGGACAACGTTGACAGGACCAGCGTTGACATGGTTCGTCAATCTGCCGAACGACAGCATCAATTCATTTGCGGAGCTGGTCAACTTATTCAATCAGCAGTTTGCAAGCAGCCGAGCCTTGGAGAAGCAGACTAGTGACCTCTACCGAGTAGTCCAGCGACGGAATGAACCCTTAAGGGATTACTTGCACCGATTCAACAAGGAGAAGGTGTCAATCCCCAGGTGTCACATACCGACGACAATTGAAGCATTTAGAAGGGGACTGCTGGAGGATTCAGAGTTATATCAGGAGTTGACGAAACACCCTAGTCGGTCCTTCGAAGATGTCCAAGTAAGGGCACTGGCTTTCATCCGTCTAGAAGAAGACTTACGATGTCGTCACAGACAAATTGAACAAGACGGGGGGCACAGAAAGTCAGAACCTCCCAGGAGACATGACTACAAGCATGGAAAGCCTTATTCGAGGCCTGAGGAATAAGTCGTCACTTCTGTGACAAGGCAGATCAGACGACATGATCGAAGTCGTCGGACGGGGGGCATGTCGTCCGATGGTAGACAGGTTCTTAAGAGCTGCAATACGGTACACTTAAAATTGTTTCACTTTTAATAATTTTCATTTGCATATTGACATCACTCCCGTTATAAAATAGACCAGACGACATGACTTAAGTCGTCAGACAGGGGGCATGTCGTCAGATAATAAACCTGACGAGACGATTGAAATCGTCTGACGACAGACAGATTCTCAAGATAGATATTTAGTTTCATATGCATATTCTCGATTGATTACTTTCATTTATCCACAAACGATCACTAACTTAAGCATCGGAGGGCCGTTGGCTTTTAGCCAACGGCCGACGTTAGCGAAATATTTATTGCACAGGTACAGTCAAGAATTGACGATGACGGAATCCTAACATGCAAAGCCTTACAATACGTCAAAACACAATTGACGGGGGGCTTACATCAAACAACGCCTTACAAACACGTCAAGACACAATTGACGGGAGACTTACAAAATTTTAGGGGAAGAAGTGGGGTTTTCATGTACGCTAACATGAGTATAAACACCACCGATTCTCTGCAATGTTTTGGCCAAAACAACAGACAGATCATACATCACAAATGTTGACGACATCAAAGTCAGACAAACACAAAACAACAACAGTACACGTACAAGCGACATCATCATGTGGAACAACAACCACATCCAAAACTACAGAAAATACACAACAGAAGTACGTGCTCCAAGAGCACGAGGACAACACAAGCTCCAAAACATAAGGAGACAACACGAATGACATTGACATACATCATAAATATTCATGTCGGCGATATTACTAAAACAACAAACGAAATGATGCATAAATATTCATGTATATTTGCAGGTTACGGTCACACCCACAGAGTCAAACCCATTATTTATACAACGAGGGACAAACTCATAATTGCCAACAAAAGTATCGACATCAATCTGAACAAAGGTTGACGACATGTCTCACCAGACACATGACGAGTTGACAAAAGCGTCTTATTATACGAATAACAAGTTGACGACATGCCTGATCGGACAGATGACGAGTTTATATGGACGATATTGAAGGATGACAAAAGTACAAATTCATAATGATGACACTCTTTTCGCACGACCGTCATCATCATGAATTGGGGGCAATTGTTGGGCCCAAGGATTTTGGTTTACAAATGGCCCATCTAAGGAAGATTAAGCAGGCAGCCCAGGAGAAGCAATGCACGTGCAGAGTTGGATAAGTTAAAAGAATCAGTCAAAAGAGAAATAGCAGGGCATGGAGGAAAAACCGCAGGGAAGTTGCGTTACTTGGGGAAAAGCTAAATTTTATCTAATAGAGGTCATATTGGCTTGTATAAAAGGAGGGATATACGAAGTATTCAGGGAGCATTCTTTACTGAAGCATACCTAGTGTTCACTCAATATCAATATTAACAATCAATTGCTATTTCTTTTTCATCTTTGTTCATAGTCGATTATTCTTTTTGCTTGATTCCCAATTCTATATCATATTCCTAGATCAGTTAATTTCTGGTTAAAACACAAGATATTAATGGCACTCCATAATATGAGAAGCGGAACTTTAATCAGATTCTACACCTGGGTACTGAAATGTCAATATTCCTTGAATTTTCTTCTTATTTACTCAGAAGATAACTTTCATATTTTAGAAAGATTAATTGAACTTGTGTCTCCAATTCACAATGCCTACTCTTTCAGATGGAACTCACTGACTCATACTCCAGAACTAGTTCCATCATGTATTTCACTTTAGATATTTTATAATCTTCATGTTTGTCACAACCGTGTAAACCATACGAAGCAAATTAATGCTCCTAAACCACATCTGCAGGAAGATCTTCATTCAGCTGGTAATAGTTTAATATTTTTCAATGCTATTATCAATGTTAGCCGGATATCACCAGAACATGCATCCATTTTCTTCAAGTTATCTATGTAGAAATTGGAAGTTCATCAATTACATTAAGAGTCTTTAAGCATATTCATTAAAAATAGGGATTACATTAATGCAAACAGAAATTTAGTTTTTTGCATACCAGCTGTGGCAGTTGGGGTTTGTGAAATTAAATTGCTATTTCTATCTGAAAGCTCAGACTTCAACTAAGTAGTGATCCCGAGCTAGAGAGTTTGGAGGGAAATGGACTTCAAAATGCTTTGTACATATAACTAGAACTTTCCTCACAGAACCTAGATGAAATGAAACAGGTGACAGGCAAGGGACGGAGAAAGTCATACTTGATATTAACACCCCCTTTAACCATGTATCTGGTCACATTCTGGGAAACCCACAAATCAGCTGCAGATGAGGAAGATGCAATGAGGGAAAGGAGCTCGTTGGGGATTCCAACCATGACCTCAATCCCACTGCCCATTAACGCCCTGAGCACATCCGGATCCGCTTCGAACAGTTTCACCTTCCGAATACCGTTGTACTTGAGGAGATCCACAACCGTCGGCGGCGGCAGCTTGTGCAGGGAAAGGGTACCCCAGTTCACTCCTATCGCCGACTCAGACGGAGCGGCGAAAAGCAGCGCCGCGGACGCCGCGCACAGGAAACAAATAATGCTCCTGTTTTTAATAGCCATTTTTCACTGTCTCGGAAACAGAGTCTTGAAGCTTCGGGATGAATTGTGTGATTGCTCACCCAAATAGAAACGTCTCTTTATTACTTCGGCAAGAAAGCCACAGATAGAGGGAAGCTGAGATGTTGTTGCTTGTTAGCGCGAGCAGTAGTAGACTTGATGAAGAGTAGATATGGCGAGTTTTTTTTTTGAAAAAATTGCCACAATATTACTAATTAGCTTTCCATTTCAAAAAATATGACTTATTTTCCTTTTCCCTAAAATATGACTGGACTCTTCCCGTAACCCAGCCCATTCCCAAAATCGCAACCCTCATTCATCTCAGCTCCCATCTCCACGCCTCGCAACCCTCCTCCATCGCAGCTCCCCTGCATCGCCCCTCGACTGCAAGCAACATCGACCTGCAATGAAGATCGAGGCATCATCCCCGATGGACGGCGTCACTGACTCCGGTGGGGCAACGAAGATCGAGGCATCATCCTTGATGGACGGTGTCGCCACTGGAAGAACATATTTGGTCTGTTTTCCATTTGATTCGTTTTGATTTCCATTAGATTCGTTTCCATCCTTCTTCGATTCGTTCTTCATCTCCCTATTCTTCTCCTTTTTCTCCGCGTTCAACGACTGTATGACTAGGGCTAGGTTTTGGGATGCGATGAAGGCAAGGGGGTGGCATCTAGGAGGCTGGCAAGGGATCTAAGGATAGTAGGGGGCCTATGGGGCGACTGCAGGGGTTTGGGGCTGGGGAGGGAGTAGGGGAGCAGAGGAGGGGGGCTGGGCAATCGGAGGGCACTGGTTGTGGGTGCTGTGGCAGGGAAAAGGAGGGGATGGGACTGGGGATGGTGCAATGACTGTGCAGGGCTGGGGCAGCGTGTGGTGGGGCTGGGGTGGTGCAGTGACTGTGGTGAGGGGGTGGTGTAGTGACAGTGGACAGTGGTGTGCGGTGATTCTGAAAGCGGCTGAGGGCTGAGAGGGGGCAGGGGAGGTGGCTGGGGGATGTGGGTTGAGTCAGGGCTGGGGTGGCGATTGGGGGGCGGTGGCGGTGGCGGTGGCGTCCTTTTGGCGTGTCACTATGGCTGAGTAACTATGGACGGTGGGTCAACGGTCACTGTGGCCAATAGCAGGGCAGTCATGATGGCCGGAGCTGGCAGCAGAGTCACTGTAGCGGCGGAGTCACTGTTGCGGCAGTCACTATGGCCGGAGTCACTTTGGTCGGAGTCACCGAGACCGGAGTCACTTTGGAGGCAGTCACTATGGCCGGAGTCACTTTGGCCGGCGGCGGCGGCGCTGGTGGCGGCGGCGCTGGCGGCGGCGGCGGCGCTGGTGGCGGCGGCGGCGGCGCTGGTGGCGGCGGCGGCAGTGGTGGTGCTGGGGTTGGCGGTCTGGAGGTGCTATAAAGGAATAATTAAAAATAAATATATGGTTAATTATAAGTAGTAAATGACTTTTAGTCACATTTTAAGAAAAATTTAAAACAAGTCACTTTTTTATCTTTTTCATTTATTTTAGTAATATTGGAATAAAAAGGCCTTTTTTTTTTGAGTCTATATGGCGAGGCTTTTAATTGAAGAAAATTGAAGAAAATGGTCAAAATGAAAGTTGTTTCCAGTGGGAAGTACTAGTACTTATCTTACACTTTGATGTTTTTTTGAAGTCAATTAAGTACATTTTCTCTCTTAGAACATTAAAATTTGGTCAAATTATCAGTTTGTAATATGTCGTTGCAATCCAAGTCATCAAATATAATCTATAAACTATAGTTTCCTCCGGTCCATCTCGTTTCCACCTTCGTTCTGCATCTTATATTTCTCATGTTTGTTCTCCATTCACTGCGCTCTTCATCTTATATTTCTCTCGTCTGCTTTCCAAGGCCCGAACCAGGGCACTAGGCCGGACTGGACCAATATAAAGAATATTTTTGAAACAAAATTACAAAAAAATATTTTAAAATTAAAGCATTTTTTAAATTTGGATTGGAGCAGCCGCAGGAACTAGGTTGACCCCCATCTAGCTCTGTCGTTGCTGCTCTCCGTCTCTCTCGGCTGCTCACCGTGCTATTCTGCTTGCTTCTTTTTTAATTTGTTATCGGTCCATCTTTACTATAGTAAGAGAAGAAGAAAATAAAATAGAGCAAACAAAAGCCGACAGAATAGCAAGGAGAGCAGACGGGAGAAATATAAGATGATGAGCGAAGGTGAAAACGAGTGGACGGGAGAAAATAGAGTTTATAAATTAATTATTTGATGACTTGGACTGCAACTGTATAATACAAACCAATAGTTTGACCAGGTTATAAGCTATTTTAACGTTCTCACAGAGCATATGTAGTTGATAGACTATAAAAATACAAGTTCATGTACTTTAAAATTTCAATACAAAGATGAAGTACTACTTACACCGTCAAAACAAATTCATGTATCATTTTGACCATTTTTTCTTTTTAATTCTTATTAAAAATGGATACAACAATTTACAAAAATTTAACTTTTAAAAGTGATCTGACTAATAATCTTTTTAGAAGTAATGACACCAATCTAGATAGGACGGTATATTAGGATGGACCGATATTTTTACCATCCTTTTTATTATAGTAATTTAACGATAGTCACTACAAAAAAATACGGGATTGACACGAAATTTGGCACGAATTATCGACTTTTCATTACAAATGACTCGATTTAAAGTGTTTCTGGCACGGATTTTGTATAATCCCTGCAAAAAACCCTGCTAAAATCCCTATCAATTCCGTATTTATTTATCACAACTAATACAATGAGCCATAGGGAACGATGTACATGAGCCGACCGTTGAAGATGATGTAACGGTGAATGGACTATCAAGCATAACTGTATGGGTCTCATAGTCTCGTAATAGGACCGATGGGAGCTTGAGGCGTTTCCCACAACCCAAATCAGGAGATGAAGGTCCTAGATCCGAAGATGTGTCTGTGTGTGTGTGCCATAACAAGGATCCACAGGAGGAAATGAATCAGGGTCCCCAGCGAGTGTTCTAGTACTGGGAGCAAGAGCCGGAGAAGCAGAGGGATATTCCCAGGTGTCCAGAGGCGGAAATGACATGGATTCTTCTGGGACAATAACCTGTGATGTGACATCTCTGGAGATGAAGTACTCCTGAGTTTCAAGATCAAAGACACGCCATCCTTTCTTCCCAAAAGAATACCCAACAAACACGTTTCTACTCCGGCTTAAAAATTTATCCCTAGCAGAACGAAGATTATAAGCAAAATATAGACACGCAAAGACCCAAAGAGTATCATAATCAGGGGGCTTTCCTTAGAGTATTTCAAAGGGAGCTCTATGTTGAAGCACTGCAGAAGGGGTCCGATTAATAAGGTGGGCGGCAGTGAGAACATATTCTCCCCAAAAATTGATTGGGAGATTCGCCTGAAATTTGAGAGCACGTGCAACGTTAAGGATGTGGCGGTGTTTACGTTTGATACGACCATTTTGTTGCGGTGTTGCAACATAGGAAGTATGAAAAATAATGCCGGAAGTACGAAAAAAATCTTTAAGACAATTAAATTCGGCCCCATTGTCACTCCGTACAATCTAAATATTTTGAGAGAATTGACACTCCACCATAGCACAAAAATTCATAAACATAGGAAAAACTTCTGTCTTATCAACCAAAAGATACACCCAAACAGCCCGAGAGAAATCATCAACAATAGTAAAAAAACTTTTAGCGCCACAGGAGGAAGGCGTATGATAGTCCCCACTATGAGAATTATGAGGGAATGGCTTATCCTAGAGGTAGCCGTATGCATGTATATATATTAATCTAGGAATAAGGAATTACAAGAATATCCCTATAATATTATCTATTACACCCCCTCAATCTGAGCAGAGGGAACAACGCACAGATTGGACTTAAGAAAATTAAAATGTTGACTAGACAAATTTTTAGTAAAAATATCTGCTAACTGAAACTGAGTAGGGATATATTTAACAATGAGATCTCCATGAGCCACCCGCTCGCGCACAAAATGATAATCAATTTTGATATGCTTGCTCCGATCATGTTGAATGGGATTGACCGCAAGATAAGAAGCCGAAACATTGTCACAATAGAGCTGAACTGGTTGCGAGATGAAGAAGCCCATGTCCGCGAGTAAGGAGCGGATAAATAATGTATCCTGAACCGTGTACGCGACAACTCGATATTCTGCCTCAGCGGAAGACTTCGAAACAGTTGGTTGCTTCTTGGACCGCCATGATATTAAATTATCACCCAGGAAGATAGCATAGCCAGTAGTAGATCGACAGCTATCAGGACATCCGACCCAATCTGCATCAGAGTAAGCAATAACCAGAGAAGGATTACCACCCTTACGTAACCATAAGCCCTCCGTGATAGTGCCCTGCAAATATCTGTAAATACGCTTCACAGCTAAAAGGTGAGTAGTGCGAGGTGCATGCATAAACTGGAGACCAAGTGAACAACATAGGTAATATCTGGTCTAGTAATAATCAAGTACTGTAATGCACCAACCATACTGCGGTATTTGGTACCATCAGCGAGTAATTCGCCATTAGTTAGGGATAAAGTAGTACGAGTAGGAAGAGGTGTGCGGACCGGATTGACTGTATGGAGATGAAAACGTCGTAAAAGATCAGGAATATACTTTTGTTGGGAGAGGAAGATACCTGTAGATGTACAGACAGTCTGAATCCCTAAAAAGAAATGAAGATCTCCCAGATCTTTCATGGCGAAAGTCTGAGAAAGTAACTGAATAATGGACTGAACTAGGGAAGGAGAACTGCCTGTAATAAGAATATCATCGACATACAAGAGGATATATATAAGACAGGACCCATGGCGAAAAATAAACATGGATGAATCAGACCGACTCTGTAGGAAACCTGGCTAAGAAGGAAGCCACTGAAACGGTGAAACCAGGCACGAGGAGCTTGCTTAAGTCCGTATAGTGCCTTGCGAAGACGAAAAATGTGGTGAGGAAAAGTGGGATGAATGAAACCCGGTGGCTGACGCATATAAACCTCCTCAGTTAAGTAACCATGTAGGAAGACATTTTTGACATCTAACTGACGCACCCCCCAGCCAAAAGAAGTAGCAAGCGAAAGCAAAAGGCGCACAGTAGTGGGTTTTACAACAGGGCTAAAAGTTTCAAAAAAGTCTACCCCAGCTTGCTGATTAAAACCCTGAGCAACCAAACG